GGTGCTTTGAGGTCATCCCTTCCCCATCCATTTTATAGTTTAGCATCAGAGACTCAGAGAGGGGCAGAGGCCTGCTCAACCTTCCATAAGTAGGGAGTGTCAGGTGCTGCATTTGGAGTGAGGGGAAATGGGTTTAATGCCCATTCCTTATTTACCACCTAAGTGACCTTGAGCAAGTCACTTCTGCCTCAGTTTTCTCACCTTTAAAATGAGGGGGGAGTGGTGGACCAGTTGACCTCTTAGATCTCTTCCATCTCCAGATGGTTAAGTCTATTACACCCAGTTGGAATTCAAACCCAGGTGTTCTGACTCCAAATTCTTTTCTCTATCCGACTAGAGGTGTCAAACACCCAGGACCACACATTCCACAATACTCCTGAGTGCTGACCAAACCCGATTAAAATATAATTGGGAAATAGTTAATAAAATGAATAAAAATACATTGGAACACAATATGGTGATGTTAACATATGATTTTTAAGTCAATATTTAACGTACAGCGATCAACATGTACTGTTTTTGTTGTTAAGTCATGTCTGGCTCTTCATGACCCTGTTTGGGGTTTTCTTGACAGAGACACTGGAGTGGTTTGCCATTTCCTTCTCCAGCTCATTTTTACAGATGTGGAAACTGAGACAAACAGGGTTAAGTGACCTGCTCAGAGTTGCACAACTATTAAGTATCTGAGGTCAGATTTGAACTGATGAAGATGAATCTTCCTGATTCTAGGTCCAGAGTTCTCCCACTGTACCACTTAGCTGCCTTCTTCTATGTACTGTCTAGTTGCCCCCATTTCTGTTTGACTTTAACATGGCTACCCTACACCACTGCAAGTCCCAGCCAATGATTTCTTGCAATACTCTCCTATAATTTAAAAAGAAAATAAAATAGAAAATTATCTTTTTTTTTTTTAATGTGTCACATAAGTGAAATTTTTGAGATGGTCAGATGAAATCAATTGCAGTCTCTTCCCCTTCATTGTAGCTGTTCTCCAGCTATTCTAGGCTTGAGAGTGCCATCTAGTGGCCACTTTCCAAAGAAAACACTTTTTATATAGATACAAGCATTTATTTGGGTAAATACATAAAATATGTTTTTAGGATATATATTTGAGAAAAACTAGATTTCTAGAGAAATAATGTCACATAACAAGAAAACAGTGACTGAAATTAGTGTTTTTAAGTGAGAACCAACAGCTTTAAGATTCAGAGAAAATATTCCAACTCTATTTAAAATGGTGCCCAGCTGAATGCCCCTGCTTCACAATGTCTGAAGTTTCTCTGACTAATCATTTTAAAATGCATGTAGACGCTGCCATTTCAGGATACAAAAAGAAAACAAACCTTTGGCAAGGAAAGCATTAGTCCATAGTAGCTTTGTAAAAATTATTTACTTCCTATCAAAAATCTGAAACAATTCTTGCAATGTCTCATCGAAGGGCAGTTGGGGGCCAGGAGCATGAGCAAAATCTACAGGCTACACAGTAGACACTCTTGCTGACCAAAAGTGCAACAAGAAGGACTGTGAGTTGATACTGAAATACAGCTAATTATTTAGAGTTCTTATATATAATGTGCTAGGACCCACTTGAGTTATCAGAACAAGCCTTATAGAGACATTTTTGAAACCTTGGCTCTGAAAGAAGTACTTCTCACTAATTTTCTGTGTTCAAATTCCCCTTCTTCCTTCCTCTTTGTTACAAAGAACAATGGCACAGAAACAGATCTCTGGGAGTCCTTAGATATTTCATTGTTGCTTATTGCTTATTCCTGGTCAATGGTTATAATAATCCTCCCAACAGAAACCTTGGAGTGCTTACAGTTGGGTTTGGAAGAGACAAAAGCTCTGGTGGGCAGGTGGGGGAGGATAGGTAGGGATCAGTCAGTCAATCAACAGTCAGCAAGCGTTTATTAAGTGCTTACTATAAGCCGGGTTCTGTGCTAATCTCAGGGGATACAAATCTAGGCAGAAAAAGAGCCCTACCCTCAAGGCTCCAGTCATCCTCATCTATATCTTGCCACTAGACCCAGATGGCTCTGGAGGAGAGAGTGAGGCTGGTGACTTTGCACAGTCCTCCTTCACTTAAATCCAATTCATTTACAAGTCGTGGCATCACTTTCCTGATGCCATGGTCCTCTTTGAGAATGAAGAACAGACATACATATCAGCGAGCTGCAGAGGGATTAGGAGATAGCAAAGATGAAGGTACTTAGTTCAGGGGCATGGTAAAGAAAATCTGGAGTACATTGTGGAAAGGAATGAGACCTGGCTGTCCCAGACACCCTTCTTAAGTGAAGATTCTGGGAGGAGCCATCCAGTCAGAGGGAGAGAGAAAGAGAGAGGCTGCAGAGAGTGAAGGGTATTTCCAATGTGTGAATTCCAGGGCTGGAGTGAGGCTTTAAGATAAACAGCTAGGATATGATAGAGAAAGTCCAGAGCACAGCCTGGAGAAGAGCAAGAGTCTCAGGGTTATGAATACTCCTTCGTGAAGGGTTGCAAACATCAGTGTGTGAAGCTAAATCTTTATAAAGACATACCCACTCAGTCTAGAACCACTCCAAGGCCTCTGGCAAGTTGGTACAGGTGCTATTGCATCCTTTGTGATGGAATCACATTTGGTTTTGCTCTGTAAGATTTCACAGAACTTTCATTGACTCATAAGACCTTCAGCTCAAATTTACATCCCTTATTAAGCAATATGTCAAATGTAATGAAAAGTGAGTCATGTAGTTGTATCCAGTGACCCCTTTCCACTACTTTAGAGGTACAGGAGACATCAGCCCAAATTGGTACCACTGGTATACTAAGAATGCAAAACTCAGAAACCATTCTATCATATGCATTGTGGTTTCTCCAACTGATCTTAATTCTATAACCATTATAGTGAATTCCTACTATATGTCAGGCACTATACTAGGTGTGGTATGCAAACAAAACTGCCTCTGCCCTCAAGAAGGTTATATATTCCACTGTGGGGGGTAGGGGGAATTTCAGGTACACGGATAAATAAATACAAAATACATTCAATAATTGGAGGAGGCACTAATCATTGAGGGATTCAGGGAAAATCTCTTAGAGAAGAGGGCACTTGAGGGAAGTGTTGATGGGAGCTAGGAGAGGTTCTAAGAAGTGAAGGTGAGTATAAAATGCATTTCAAGCATAGGGCACATCCCATGCAAAAGCACAGAGGTGGCAGGTGGAATGTTGGGTATGAGAAGTAGCAGTCACTCAGCCGATCAAGCAATCAGCAAACATCTATTAAGCCCTTGCTATGTGGTGGGTACTGCACTAGGTAATGGGAGTGCAAAGACCAAAGTGAGACTGCCCCTGCCCTCAAGAAGCTAACTTTCTACCGAGGGGATACAGCAAGGTCACGAACAAATAAATACAGGCTGTGCACAAAACAAACACCAAGTGATTGGGGTAGGGTACTAACAATACTTCGAAGACCTTCAAAGGAGGCACAAGTGAGCACAGGATAACGGAGCTTTTTTTTTTCCTTTTCTTTCCAATAGAAGCTAAAAACCTTTTTTGTTTGTTTGGTATTTTAGTTTTCCCCAATTACATGTAAAAACAATTTTTTAACATTTGTTTTTAAAACTTTCAGTACCAAATTCTCTCCCTTCCTCCCACCCCACTCCCCTCATTGAGAAGGCAAGCAATTTAATATAAGTTATACATGCACAGTCATGCAAAATATATTTCCAAATGAGTAAAGATGATCTTGAAGGGGACCTCAGAAGCCTTCTGATCTAAATGTTATTTTTCTTTTCATTTTACAGATTAGGAAACTGAGGCCCAGTGTGGTTAAGCAAGGTTCAAGGTCACAAGGGGGAGAGATGTAAACTGAAGCCTGTTCCTCTGAGAGGAACCATCAAAGTCCTTTTTATGCTGCTTGGCTGTGTGCAGGATGGTCTCGTAGCCTTGGGTAGATACATAGTGAATAATGAATAGAATGAGCATTAGGAGAAAGCTTTGAAGAACCCTAAAAGCAATCACTCTTTCTGCTAATGGAAAGGGGCTAAAACCCATCTTTTGGATCATCCTGAGTCCCTTTAAAGTCCCTCCATCTATCCATTGCCCCCCAGTCCTCAAAGACCCAGCTCAGCAGGTATTGGGGAATGCTTGAGAAATGGGAGAACACCAGCATACATATTCACCCACTGCTCATTGACCCCAGAAGATTATTTTAATACTGACACCAACAGTGAATGCTTCATAATGGAGCCTGTATTCGCCCTGAAAGGGTTCAGGACTTTTTTGATGTGTGGCATTTTGATCCCCAACAACTTTCTCTTCAAACTTTTTTCAATCGAAGTGGAAATTACATGAAAAGCATAGGAATCTAGAATAGCAATGCCAATGGATAATGTCTTTGGAAGGGGTATGTTGTTTGATGAATTCTGTACTGTGTCCAGCTTGATGGTGAATGTCTCCGTCAAAAATAGAATTGGAACTCCCCAACTTGTTTTTCATCTCTCCTCCAAGAGTGGCAGGGTATTTTTTTTTTGTCACAGTACTCTCTACCTACTCAGAAAGCATTTTCCCCATCTTCCTACCATTGTCTAACACTTAAGCATAGAAGTGCCAATTTACTTTCTGGCATGAATGTGCTATCAGAGAAGCAATCTGTTCATTCCTGAACTTCCCTGAGTTCACCTACAAAGTTTTCCCTTTGCCACCCCTAGGAAATGGCTAAATGATCTGATGATACTAGAAGGGAGGTAGGTAGCTTGGAATCAAGGCTCTAGGATAATCTTTCTGCTCTTAGCAAACTAACGTAATTAGCTATTTGAAAGTGGATTTCCCCACCAAAATTGGAAGTGTTCACTCTCGTATATCCCTCCTCCAGGACATATTCTGACATGATCAAGGATGAAATCCTGATGTCCAACTGGAAAAAAAAAAGCACATGACATTTTCTGATGCTTCATGCCTTTGTCTGCCTCTGTACCTTTCCCCTATTTCACTATGTCTTTCTTTTTGTTTTTCTTTGTCAGGCAATTCTCCATCAGATGAATCAGAGGAGCAGGAGCGAGACCCTAAAGTGCTCACATTCCCAGAATATATTGCCAGCCTGTCTGAGTCAGGCACCAAGCGCATGGCGGCTGGAGTCCGTATGGAGTGCCAGAGCCGAGGCCGGTGCCCTTCATCTTGTCCACTGTGCCATGTGACTGCTAGCCCTGATTTGCCTGCTGAGCCAATTCTCCTGGAGGTTACCAAGGCAGCTCCAATCTATGAACTGGTTACTAACAACCAGACCCAGCGGGTGAGGGACCCACGGCTGTCAGCTCCAGATGAAAACACAACAAGAGATTTCATAGATAGGTTCAAAAAGTGACAGGACACAGTGGAACTCCACAGTAGACTAAAGCTATTAGAATATTTTAGTTAATCTGAGAGCTTGATTTGCATGGGTTTGCATGTTTGCATATAAAATTTAATTAGTTCATTCATACCACCTACTGTAGTCCAATTGGATATTTAAGGCTCAGCACACCTGAAATTACACCATAAGTTTTTTAGCCCATAAGGTTTAGAGAGAGCGGGCAAGTAAGGAGAATAAAGGCAGAGCAGAAAGTGGGTGATCCCCATCCCTATCAGCTGTCAGTCATGAAATTAAATATCTGCATGACTCTGGGTGATGGGACTTGGACAGGTCAACTCAGCATCTTTCTTCATTCACATTGGGTCATTGGAATGGGAGTAGACCCAGTTTCCCTTAATAACTTCTGAACCCAGAACTGACTACTACACAGATTTGGGACTATGGCAGCTGTCCTCTAGAGTCAGGTTTTCATGCCAGCATCATTGTAACTTGTAAGATTCCCCATTTTATCACCCTTGGTCTCCAGAGAAGATCCTAATAGCCTCTTCTCTCTGCCATATATTATGACACCGAGTCACTTGGACTCAATCACTGTGTGTGATGACGTTCTTTGTACCTAAGAATCCAGGGAAAATCCAGTTCTGGTTCAGAGTTGGGAATCTAGGAAAATCTGGCAAAGGGTATTCCAACAAGGTCCCCATCTTCTTTCTATCCACCCCACTCCCACCTCCTCTTTGATTAATCTTTCTGAGAAGAGTAACTTCAAATCAAAGATTTAGAGCTGGAAGGGACCTTTGAGGGCATGGCATTCCTCATTTTGCAAATGAGGAATCTGAGATAAAGATGTAAATTGACTTGCCATAAGGCAACAGCTATTAGTAATTGTTTTAGGTGTGATCAAACCCAACTTATCCCTACTTCAGGCCCAGTAGTCTTATCCCCTGGCAGAATGTGGCACTACCAAGAGTGGCAAAATAAGGGACTGATAAATCTGATTCTCTGATATTAAAGGCAGTACCACTGACAAGGTATAGTCATGTGAGCCTTCCAGAGAGCATCAGGATATAAGAAAAGGTGGCAGAATGATCAATTATTTTCTTTTTTCCTTCCCATCCTCCCCACTTTTATTTTCAAAGAAAGAGAGATGTTGTGTGAGGCACCTTGTTATGTAGCTGACACTCAGACTTTTAGTCTAGCTTTACTGAAAAATGTGGAGGTGGAAGGGGTGTGTCCACCTGTTTTTGTTTCTTCAATCACTAATGTTCTTAAAAAATTACTTTATTCAATATTTGAACATGATCAGACTTCCTTTAATCAAAAAGTGAATCCATTTTCTTAAGTCCCTCCTACACTTACTCCCCAACCAAATCGGAACAAGACCCAGAGGAGTCTGCCCAGCCGCTGCTGCTGTAAGGGTTCAGGGGCTCCAGTTCTGTCCCTGCCCCTTCACAGACAGGGAGCACATGGCCCCAGGAACAGCCCTCCTTCACAGAATTTGAGCTTTAGGTGAAGTTTTAATGAATGGTACTAGAGGTGCTGCTTATAAAGAAAGGGACGAGGGGAGAGAGTAAACTGCCAATGCCTGCAGGCTCATCTGAAGGAGAGAGCTTGCGGTGAGCCTTCCCTTCCGGGTCAGCCTTAAGAAAGTAGCCAGTTTGTTTTAGGCTAGGCATCCATTTTCCTGAACCCCTTGCCAAACACAGAAGACCATCCTCCTCTTCTTTCCTCCTCCTCCTCCTTCACCTTTTTAAAACAAATAACAGGGGAGCTTCATGTGCACTTTTAATATTGTACTCTCCAAAGTCATATGGCGTAGATAGAGCTATATTCCTTTCCCCTGCTCTCCTCTTTTCTCTGCTCTTGCCTTCTCCCTCTCTCTCCAGTTTCTCCTGTTCTCTTTTCTTCCCTCCTTCCCTCCTTTCTCTCACTCTGTGTCTCTGTGTCTATGTCTCTATCTCTCTCTTTCTCTCTGTCAATCTCTTTCTCTTTCTCCATCTCTGTTTGCCTAATCTCTTTATGTCCTCTCCCCTATCTCCCTCCTTCTTCTATTCTCATCTCTCTGCACCTTTGTCTCTTCTTTCTCTCTGTTTCTCTTCTCTTCTCTTCTGTCTCTTCTGTATGTCTCCCATCTCTCCATCCTTTTCCCCTCTTGAACACAATGCTTTCCACTCGCCTACATTTTGTTTTCCTTTCTCCTGAGATGTAGGGGGAACAGGGAAAAATTTCAGGGAAACAAATATCATCATTAAATTGAAAAGACCCTTAGAGAAAATTTAGTTCAACTTGTACCTGCATAGGAATCCCCTCTCTTATCTTCCTGACAAGTGGTCCTCCTGCCTACATGCTTGGGACAACCCTTTATTTCACATTATTAGAAAGTTGTTGTTGGGATTTATTTGTGTGTGTGTGTGTGTGTGTGTGTGTGTGTGTGTGTGTGTGTGTGTGTGTTTTCCCCTTACATCAAAACAAAATGCACCTTTCTGCAATCTCCTCTTCCTGCTCCTTGGTGTGTCCACTGGAGCAAAGCAGGATGAGTCTAATCCCCAGGATAGCCCTTCACATACCTGAATATAGTGATCATGGCCCCCTGAGTCTTGTCTAGATAAACAGCCCTAGTTTGTTCAGTCAACCTTATTGTAGTATTGTCTCCAGTCCACTCAGTATCCTAGTGACCTAATAGGATGCCTTCCTGTATGTGAATATCCTTTTTAAAATGTGGTATACACAACCAGGTGTTATCTGATCAGAAAAGGGCATGGAGTGACTATTACCTCCTTGCTCTGGGCACAGTTTCACAGAGGGTGAAGTGGGACTATAATAATAATGATAATACTGTTAATGATAATAATAATAATAATAGCAAGCATTTATTTAGCACTCTAAAGTTTACAAACCACTTTCCATATATTGTCTCATTCGATCCTCACATTCCTGTGAGATAAGAGTTGTTATTATCCCTAATTTACAGGCAAGGAACTGAAGCCCAGGGAGGTTAAGTGACTTACCCAGTGTCACACATCTGGATAGTAGTTTAATTTGTCTTTCTAGCTCCATATCCAATATTCAATCCACTGCACCATCTAGATGCACTATTACCTTTTTCTCTCAATGCAACCTATGACAGCATTAGGATTTTTTAAACATATTTTTATTTATTTTGTTAAATTACATGTAAAAATTTATAATTACATGTAAAAATTGACATATTTTTAAAATTTTGAGTTCCAAATTCTCTCCCAAGTTACCCCTTGAGAAGTCAAGCAATATGATATCGATTATACATGTGAAGTCATGTAAAATATATTTCCATATTAGTTAGAGAACATTAGGTTTTATCAGCTACCATGTCACACTGTTGACTCGATAAAATAAAGTCCTAACCCTATATCTCCAGATCTTTTCTAAATTAGCTCCTTACAATGTCCCTCCCATTCTCTTTGTGACCTTGAGTAGGACATTGATTCAACCTCTCTGGGAACTGGTTTATTTATCTGCAACATGGGATCATTAGAATGATCTCAAAAGTGACTTCCACCCATCTAATTCTAAAATTCTAATGCTAAGCAGAAACAGATGAGGCCTGTCCTTCATTTCCCCTAACCAGAGCACATTCTTTCTTCAGGGCTCCCCTTAGAAGTAAAAGTAAGCAGAGGTAGTCCAGGTCCCAAGCTTTTTACTTATCAGGATTTATCTGACTCTCCTGCTACCTCCAAAGCTTTTCTTTCTCCCTTCCCTCTTTCCCCAACTCATTCCCTCTCCTACCTGGCAGCCAAAGATAGAGCACATAGAAAAATTTGAGGGAAGGGGGAAAAAACCAAGCTGGAAGTGTCCAGCACTCAAATAAACACCTTATGCTATTTTTCTACCTATATTTGTCCTGTCTTCTTTAGATGGGGAGACCTTACTGATCAATGACCACCTCTTTAGTCATGTGGACTCTTAACTCCCACCCCAGGGTTCCTTTTTTTTTTTTGACTACCCTCTTGCACGAGCTTCAAGGCAGACCAGGGTGCCTTGACAGCCCACTCAAATGACGGTATCTTTTTTTTACATTTCAAGTGCTTCTTATTTAGTTTGCTCCAGAGCAATTATATGTTTGATTATTCTGGTTCAAAAGTCATTGCAGGAAGTGAGAAGCATTAGAAGGAAAGGAGGAGGATAGTGGGAGAGGACAGTCAGAGAGAAAGTCTCAGACTTGCACCTCAGTCCATTGCGCTATCCCCCAGTGCCCGACACTGAGCCTGTCTCCCAGCAGTAGGCCATCCTCCCTGGCTCCCCCCTTGCATGCTTCCTCCCCAGAGGCAGCTGAATGCCTCTTGGGGTAGTCAGAACCTCACACTGCCCCTCACTTCATCAACATCTTCTGCTTTTCTTTTCTCTTCGTTGTGCTCTTTCTCCCTTAAGGTAGTCCAGCTAATGCACTACAGAGGTTAAATGAGAGGTCCCATATCACCCTTCACCCCCACCCTGAGAACAAAAAAGCATTCTAACAATGGACTTCTGGAGACCATGACTCTGTCTTCATTACCTAACCAAAATAATTGATTCTGTGGCTGGGATTTTAAGAAAGAGAGGAAGGCAGGACACTAGCTCCAGCACCTAGTACTGTACTGGGTACAATAGGGAAGGGATAGGGGTGCTCCTTAGCACCAGATGGAACCTTATTGGTATGCTTTCTCAGACTGCTTATGTAGGTTATTGCCTTGATAACCAAGGCTTGGGGCCTTCTCTTGCTGTCCTCATCCTGATGTCTCTCTCTTCCCCTCCTTTTTCAGTTGTTGCAGGAGGCCACCATGAGCTCACTCTGGTGTTCAGGAAGTGGAGATGTCATCGAGGATTGGTGTCGGTGTGACTCCAGTGCATTTGGGGCAGATGGGCTCCCCACTTGTGCTCCTCTTCCTCAGCCTGTGTAGGTTTCCTTTTTCCCTTTTGCACGGACATTCTGTCTTTGCATTCTTCCTATTAATGTGGTGCCCAGTCAGAGATCATAGCTACTTCCCCCCCACTGCCCCCAATCACAGATTTATCCACGAATGTACTTCTCCCTCAGCATCCACGCAGGCACCTCAGACAAGGCCCTGACTAGCCCTGTCCCTCTTCCCTCTTAGCCTAAAGGAAAATCAGGCCAATTTTGTGTGGCAATATTTTAAGTTAGTAGAAAGGATCATCAAGTGTCCAAAATACTAAGATTCATACAATAAACTCTTGAGGCAGATTTTAATCCTCTGCTACTAATAGCGTTTTAAAGTTTGCAAAATACTTTACATGTTATTGTCAAACACTTGACCTGTTGTCTTATTTAATCTTCATAGCAAAACTCAGAGGTAGGTACAATTAGTAGTATCCTCAGATTATAGATGGAGAAACTGAGGCTGAGAGATTAAGTAACTTGATCAAGGTCAGCATGTTATAAAGTATTTATTAAACACTCATTTTTTACTACATAGGATGCTAAGTGCTGGGAATACAAAACAAAAGTAGAAAGAAAGCTCCTGCCCTCAAGGAGCTTACATTCTAGTGCGGGAAGACAGCATGTACATGGAAGCTGAAAGGGAGGTGATGAGGAAGGTACCTGTCTTGGAATGAGACATGGCTGGCCTATGCAGCCTCTTTAAATGGAGGTGGTGGGAGGAGCCATCCAATGAGAAGAAGTTGCTACAGAGGTGGAAGGAGCTTTCAAAGTACAAGTCTAGGGCTAGAGTGAGCATTAGGATGAAGAGTTAGGGTGTGGTAGAGGAAGTCTAGAATGCATCCTGGAGAGAAATGTCGCTGGAGAAGGTTCCACAGCTAGTAAATTTCTGAGGCAAGATTTGAACTCAGATCTTTCTGACAGTAAGTCCAGAACCCAAAGGTTCTGGGCACTCTCATGCCTTTGAGTTTTGATAGCCCAGCTTTACCATTTAATACTTTGTAAGTAAACTGTACAGTGAAGATTTGGGGTTAGGTGACCATACGAGCTCTAAGGTCCCTTCCAATTCTGAATCTATGGATCTTACGCTATACTAGTATATAAAGATTTAAGAGCAAGCTGGGTGGACAGTAGTCCATAGCCTGGAATAAATATTACAAGCTCATTTTTCTTGTCAACTGTAATTATTTCTTTGAACTGTTTCTCTTCTTTATAATCATCATGGTCTCTTGGCTGTTAGAGCTTGAATTTCATATATGTCTAAATGGCGTGAAGTCCATTACTCCTAATTAGCAGCTTAGCCTCAGTCAGTTTTCAGGGAATTGCAGTTCTTATTTTCGGGGAATTGCTGTGCTCCAGGAATGAGATAGTTTTATATAATCCAAAAAAAAAGTTATTTTTTTACACATTTATTTATTTATACATGACTAATTCATGACTTAGGTAATAGTTGTCTTCAGATCATGGGACATTTGAAGCCAGCTTGATATTTAGCAATAAATATCCAATGTGTCATTCTTCCTTTTGACCCACCACCACGTATTGACATGCTTTCAGTTTTGAGTTTCCAAATAATGGAGAAAGCTAGTCCTGACCAGCTACATTACTTGAACTAGTCCTTTTGGAAACCAGTGCCATCTATGAAGTGGCCAGTCACAGTTATGGGTGCCATGGTGGGCCAGGATGATGATCATTGGTGGTAGATTGTAAGAACAATCTGAGGAACCAAGATGGAGGGAAATATCTCAAGGCCAGGAATGGAGGTTAGAAGGCAGATGTGTTCCCTCTGTACCTTAGGCAGTACCCAGGAGCAGGTGGTTAGGGTACAACAAAGAGTCTGCAAGTAAGTAATTTACAGCTACAGGGTATATGTAGAGGGTAGAGCAAGGCAGTAGGTTTAAACAATGTTGAAACCCAAGATCCGATATGGATTAATGGACACTCCATGTCCAACTTCAGAATGAGGAACACTGGTCTTACCTCCGTTCTGTACTGCTCATGGCACCCAAAAAAAGTTGATTAACCTCTCAGTGCCCTGGAAAAAAAAATCTCTATGACCATAATTTGCAGAACATTTCTAGATATATGTTAGTAGAGTGAATTGTATTACCAGAGGTTCCTTATAGTGATGAAATAATAATAATAGCTAATGTTTATATAGTACCTACTATGTGCTAAGCACTTTACTACTATTATTTCATTTGATCCTCACAACAACCCTAGGAGGTAGGTATTACCGTTATCCCAATTTTATAGTGGAGGAAAATGAGGCAAATTGAAGTTAAGTGACTTGCCCAGGGTCACATAGCTACTAAATATCTGAGGCCAAATTTAAACTTGGATTTTCTTGATTCCAGGCCCAGTATTCTATTCACTGTGCCGAGATTCCTAGGTTCAGACAAACAATTTAAGTCTAGATTTAGGATTTCATAGGTTTAGACAAACAATTTAAGTCTAGATTTAGGATTTCAGTGACATAGGAAGCTCTGTATCAGTGTAAATCTGCAGCTGTCCTGCCAACCTAAGATCTTAGAAAGTTGCCCAAGGGCACTGAGAAATTAAGTGACTTATCCAGGGTCCCATAGATGGTATTTGCCAGAGACAAAATTGAACCCAGGTCTTCCTGATTCTGGCTCTCTATCTACTACCCCATATCTTCACTATCTCACCACACACACACACACACACACACACACACACACACACACACACACACACACGCACACACACAAACACACACCCCTTTCCTGTCCTCATCATGGTTATTTTTGTCCTCATTCCTCACCTTACTACTATTACCTCATTTGATCGTCACAACAGCCCTAAGATGTAGTTGCTATTATTATTGAGGAAACCAAGGCAGATGGTGGGTAAGTGACTTTCCCAGAATCACACATCTAGAAAGCATCTGAGGCTGAATTTGAACTCAGGTCTTCTGGACTTCAAGCCCAGACTTCTATCCACTGAGCCAACTAATTGTCATATTATACAACCAGGGCAGCTAGGTGGTGCAGAGGATAAAGTGCTAGACCTGGAGTCAAGAAGACTTGAGTTCAAATCTGGCTGCAGACGCGTACTAGTTGTGTAACCTTGGGCACGTCACTTCATCTTGTTTGCCTCAGTTTTCTCATCTGTAAAGTGAGCTGAAGAAGGAAACGGCAAAGCACTCCAGTAGCTTTGCCCAAAAAAACCCCAAAAGAGGGGTTATGAAGAACTGGACATGACTGAAAAATGACTAAAGAACAATAATACACAATCACTGATCAACCCAAACACTGGCAGTGGGTTAGATGCAGGAGTAGTCAAGGCTCAGGGTTGGTACCAAACCCCATTTCATCTTCTTTCCTCTTCTCCCACAGACTCCGACTCTCCACGGTGCATGAGCCTAGCAGCACGCTGGTGGTACTGGAGTGGGAACACTCAGAGCCGCCAATAGGGGTACAGATTGTGGATTACCTCATCCGCCAGGAGAAGGTCACAGACAGGATGGACCATTCCAAAGTGGAGACTGGTGAGTGACCCTTCCCCTTTGAGAGCCAACCTTGCTCTGCGGTGATGGAACAATGGCTTGTCCTCAAACCTGTCTCCAACAAGGCTCTGCTTCAGGTCTCCTGCATGAGACACTCAAGGAGAAATCATTGGCCCTACCAGGGATCATCCATGTTGCCCATTTAAGAGCCGCTTAGTGGTAAACATCCAGCAAAAGCTGTTTTGATTTTGTTCTTCTCTCTGTTTATAAAAGAGGTGTCCATTTCATAGCCTCTAGGCATTCTCTCAGAGCCACATTTGAATAAACAACATTACAATAACTGGTTGCATGGCCCACAATTAGGAAACAATTCTCTACTAACCACTGCCATGATTACAGGGGGAAAAAAGGATTGCTTCACTAATAAGACGCCTCCAGGCAAAAGTCTGCCCAAACATATGAATTTTGCCTCATGTTTTGTTCTAAAGCAAACTCTGACTTTGCCTGATTTAGTTAGAGAGGAAAAGTTTCAAACTGATTTGGGGTGCTGCCATTGAAAGTACCCTGGGCCAATTTTTCCACACAGGGAGGAGGAGGGCAGTGTCAGTGGTGCTAATATGACTTGTGCATTTAAGGTGGGCACCCTCGGTGGGGGCATGTGCACACAGTGGGACCTTGTTATGGTTGTATGCTGCATAATCCAGTGGCCTCAAAATGGATTGTTCCATCTGTCACTTCTCAGCCTTTTGGCCCCGTGCATTGTCCAAGGCAGCCTTGGTGAGGACTAACCAATCTGTTGCCCTTGGTGTATCAAAGATGCTGGACAGCCCTGGTGAGTTCTTATGGGCAGTGATGGTTCACTGGGGCTCCTGTTCCTCACCCATGCTAAGGACTTCAAGGAGCTTACATAGAATGCTGATGAACCACTCGTCCTCCCAGCATGCTCTATATTTTGGGGGCTCAGGGAGTATTTCTCCAGTTGTACTGTCCATGGACTTAGGAGACTTGGGGAAGAGCGCGTCTAATGACAGATCTTCATGAAGGTTATCTTTCTTCCCCATTGTTTGCTCTTCCTTGATATCCCTCATGCATTTTACTTTTTTCTTTTCTTTCTGTGCAGAAACAGTGTTGAGTTTTGTTGATGACATTATCTCTGGAGCAAAGTCCCCATGTGCCATGCCGTCTCAGGTGCCAGACAAACAGTTCAGCACCATCTCTCTGATTATTCGTTGTCTGGAACCCGATACCACCTATATGTGAGTAATACTTCAACTCGTGGAGGCACACAGTCCATGGTGGAAAGAATATTGGATTTGTAATCAGTGAGCTGGGGTTCAGGCCCCACCTTTACCGTTCTATTCAGCTTTGACCTTGGGTGATTCCCTTGTTTTCTCTCAACCTAATTTTCTTCAACTGTAAATGAAAAGATTAGACAAGATGACTTCTGAATTCCTTTATAGCTCTAAATCCCTGGTCCTATTACTGGTGATTCTTAAATGTGTGAGTACCATGGTTTCCAGATGGCTCTTGCTATCTACTTTTCTCTCTTCAAGTTCACAGTGAAATATATTGAGTCTTCCTAGTGTTGTCAGTGTGTCTTCAGAAAGACAGTGAACCTCCCAATTATGAACTGTTCTCTCTCCCACCCTACCCCACCCTGAAGGGTCTAGAGATATTTTTAAACTCCTCATTGGATCAAAATACATGGCATCATGCAAATAACACTGGGTTAAGTCAGAACTCTTGGAAGTGAGTCCTGGCTCTAAGACTCCCTAATTATGTGGCATTTAACCTACCTGAGCCCCAGTTTCCTTGTTTGTAAAATGAGTACAACAATACTTGAACTACTTACCTCATTGGTGGAATGGAGTGTTTTGTGAATCTTAAGATTCTAGATAAATGTGAATTACCGATGATTATTGTAAAGCCCCAAAAAAGGGACAGACCATAATAGAGTCTGAGGAATGAGGGAAATGTTGTTGGGTTCAGGCACAGTGCCCAGAGATGCAGTGCTGAGACTTCATGTCCTCACCAAGTATGAAAATCACTTAACAGTTTATAGATTAGCTCATAAGAAGAGAATCACAATAGCCAGAAGAAGTCATTTCCATTTCAACAACCACAAAGCTCAAAGATGTGGGGTGGGTGGAGGCCAAGGGGCAGAAGAAGAGTTATGACCTGCAAGATAGGATCTAGGAAATCTTGAAGATTCAAAGAAACTAACAGCCTGGGAAAAGGCTAGATGCTGCAACTACGTAGATATCCCAAAAGAAAATAAACCACTGTTATGAACAAGTTGTGTGGCACTCTAAGAATGGCATGTAAACTGAACATGATAACATACCAAAGAAAAGGCAATTTCCCCTTTAAGGATGTCCAAATGGAATCATCCTCTGCGTGACTGTAAGGCTAATTAGCAAGGTCACTTCTGCTTAGCCAGAATAGGCTTACAATTTGTAATATTGTGAAGTTGAATACCATTCATCATGAGGGATGTCCATAATAAAGAACAGACTTTGGCTTTGTTTTGTTTGTTTTGTTTGTTTTGTTTTCTCTTTGTGGTATAGCCTGCCTTGTATCTGTAGTATCGAAAACAGCATGGGCCTTAACATAGTTCAGTATACATGGTGTAGTAGGAGTAGGAGCAGTGACAGTAATAATGATTATAATAATAACTAGCATTCATATTGTGCTTTAAGGTTTGCAAAATACTTTAGCAGGTCAACCAATTTGATACTCACAACAATCCTGCAAGATAGGTTCCATTATTATGCCCATCTTACAATGTGGAAACTGAAGCGCAGAGAGGTTAAGTGAGTTGTCCAGGTTCACATAGTGTCTGAGTCAGAATTTGAACTCAGGTCTTCTCGACTGAAAGTCATGAATTCTGTTCACTGTGCCATCTAGCTGGCTAATAATATGATAATGGTATATCAAAGTCATATGAGAATCAGATGGGGCACATGTCATCCCTGCTGTCCTTTCTGATGCTGGAGCTGTATGGAAGATACTTTTGTTGAGTCTACAAAAGATGAGCTTATTCATTAATATGTTTATTCAATAACAAAAAGCAGTCATTTTCTTCATCTCTGTAATAATCCATGAAGGTCTGATAGTAGGATAGTGACTTGACTCCAGACTGCTTCTCTCTGAATACCCTCAAAAAAGGTGAGAATAAGATAGTAATGATGATAACAAAAAAGTTGGCATTTGTACATTTCTTTAAAGTTCACCAAGTACTTTAAATATTTCTCATTTCAGCCTCACTATAGTCCTGTCAGTCAAGGGCTGTAGATATTATTATCCCAGTTTTACAGATGAGAAAACAACATCAGAAAAGCTGAATGATTTGTCTGTGGCCTTTCCTCTAATAAGTGTGAGAAATTAGATTTGAATCCAGGTCTTCTTAATGCCAAGCCAGTATTCCAACCACCACACCATACTGCCTCAGTCATAGGATCCCAGGTCGTAAACTGGAAGGGTCTTGGCAGGTAACTAATCCAACTCTTTTACTTTCTAGATGAGGAAGCTGAGGTTCACAATGCATTAATAAATTAGAGATCAGTAATTAACGTAACTGTGTTGTCACCGATGACTATCAATTTGAATTGTCTACTGTGGAAAAGAAAGCAAAGATAGGGTTTCTTTTTGAGGTTCCTGACTCCAGATGACAGCCGCCCCTGTCAGGTTGACTTAACTTGAACTGACTCAGCTTCTAGACCGCCTAATTAAGTAGCCGTACCTGGGTGCTTTTAGAAGACAGAACCACCACCCTCCCAGCTGCCACAGTTCATGGAAGTGTTGGTCAGCGAGCTTCTTGTATAAACAGACAACATCTGTGAGAAAAACCTTGCAACAATAATATGGTATGAGGGTTAATACAGTGAATGCAACCTCATTCCATTGGATGGCACCAATGCCTATCCCAGGAGGGTGGGACAATAGGGATTATTCTCTCCATCTGAGTGCAGATATTCCTTTGGTGATAAGAGAATAATTGATACTTTCCTACTTCCATTTCCAAAATACTAGAAAGGGCACTGGATAAAGAACTGGTAGGCTTAAGTCCTGCACTACTGGTCACTAACCAGCTATATTAAACAAATGGTTTAATTTTTTTGTCTTAGATTCTCAATCCTAAAAAATGAGGATCAAACATTGTGTCTTCCTTCACATTCCAGCTAAAGTTCCACCTTCTACAAGAAGCCTTTCCTAATTAATAATAGTACCTAACAACTGTTGATTACCTCCAGTTTATCCAGTGTAGGCCTCATTTGTAGATTGTTAACGTGTTGTCTCCCCACTGGACTGTGAGCTCCCTGAGAATACGACTTTTGTCTTTCTTTTTACCCCAGCTCTAAACACAGTGTTTGCTACATAGGCATTTATCCGTATTAACTGATTGACTGACGCTGATAGAATCACATAGCTGGAAGGCACATTCAGGCATTAAACAACCGATGTCCCATGAGGCTAAATAAGTTTACTCAAGTCACAGAGTCACCCAATGGGGAAGCCAGAAGTAGAACTCAGGCATCCTGATTCCCACTCTGCACTGTACCATGTGGCCTATCCTTAAGTACCCAGAGATGCCTTTCTCAACAGCCTGACTGCTTACCCCAGAAGAGCCATCATAAAGAGGGATTAGACTAGTTCAGCTTGTCCCTGCACAGGATGGCTGGAAGTTGCCAAGAGGCAAATTTAGGCCTTCAATCAGGAAAATTTTCCTAGAAATTAGAGCTGCCCATAACCACGAAGAACTGTCACAACAGGTAGTGAGTTTTCCCTCATTTAAGATTTTACGTAAAGAGGTAAATTGCTACTTAACTAGGGACCATGAGCTTAATTTTTTTTAATAATTGTGTTTCCTTTTAATTGGTTTCATTTGTAATTCCAAACATTTTATTTTATGCATGCAAAACCAGTATTCTAAGAAGGGATCCAGAGACTTCACCAGACTGCCAAAGGGGTCCATGACACAAAAGTGGTTAGGAATCTCTTTAGGAAATTGTTCCAGGTTGGAATGGACCAGATGGCCTCCGAGATCCCTTCCAACTACAGGATTCTGGGGACTTTCTGAATTCAGAGAATAGTGAGTCAGATAGAAGGGATTAGCTCAGATTGCCAAGCCTGAAGGGAGAAGATGCATGAAAGGAGGAGGTAAGGGCAGCTAATTCATGAGAATAAGCAGGGGACTACTCCATGCTCATCAGATTCCAGGCTGTTAAGCCACTAAGAGGCCTCTGAGTCAGATCCAACTCTCTGCTCGCATGCTCACATGCCCCCAATAAGTGGGGTTATTAGCATACCAACTGAGGTCTAAACAAACAGACAGGGAAGCCATGTTTGTAAAAAGTACAGACCTTTAAAAAGACCATAAATGTGATTATCCGTTAGCTTACTGGACAAGGTGCATGACTTCTCTTTAGTTTAGAAGAGCATAGATAGTTGTTTTGCTGCCCAATAAATGTTAAATAATAATAATATGAACAATAATGATGATGATGATGATGATATACAAGGAGAGCACATTTATGTACTGGTTGGACACACAATTGCCATTTTAAAATGTGTTATGCCCTACTTGATCCCTATAGCCAAGCTAATCTCCCAGAATTTCAGTTCATTAAGCAACCTGAAAGTGTCTTGCCCTGTTGGAGAAAGCAGGGGTAACTTCATTACCAGCTCTGACCCTTTGCCCAAGCTTATATGATGCTCATTCCCATTTGGAAAGAGAGGAGCCTGAGAACCTCTACCTTGTCCCCAACTTGCCCCCATATGGTAGTGTAGAGATTAATCAGCAGGTGATTTATGGTATTTTGCAAAGCTATTAGTGATGCAGAAAAATGTAGATATCTGTACATATACATATAACACATTGCAGGCTATCTCCAAGCTCTCTTTGCAGACTCATGTTCCATTATTTCCCATCTTGCATTCTAAGTTCCAGCCAAACTGGTCTGTTTGATCTAACCTATACAACTTAATATTCTGTCTCCCAGCCCATGGCCTTTAAACAGACTGTCTTGCATATCTGGGATCCTGTCTCTTCTCTTCTGTTTGGAATCCGTAGCTCCCTTCAAGGAGGCTCCCATTTTTTTCGTGCTGCTCCCTCCCCAATGAAATGACTTTGGATTGACAGTACATATATACACATATCAACTGTATATATGTATATACCCATGTATACAGATACAAATATGTGTATACACACACATATATATATATTGCATTTACTTATATGTTTACTTGTTTACATCCCCCAATAGAATATAAATGTAAATTCATTGAGACCAGGGACTGTTTTCATTTTGTCTTTGTATCCCAAGCTCCTAGCACATAATAATAACTGATAAATAACTGTTAAATTGAATCGAATTACATTCACTAGTCAGAGGCTCCGATATGAGAACCAGACTGAGAGATTAACTGAGGAAAGCTTTCCAAGAGTTTACATGGGACAATGAACATAAGTAAGAGGATAAGCCTTCAACACACTCACAGAAGCCCTCACAAAGTTTGCAAAAGAGGATGAAAGATAACTGCGTTGATTCTTCCCTTTTTTTGCACCTCTCTGGCACCTTTATCCATTTAGATTTGCTGTTGATAAATTGGATCATTCATCCATTTCATTTTGGGGGTATTTATAATAGACAAAATAACGTTCACTCAAAGTCATTCTTAAAACAACATTGCTGTTACTGTACACAATGTTCTCTTGGTTCTGCTCATTTCACTCTTCGTTATTTTGTGCAAATCTTTCCATGCTTTTTTTATTTTTTAAATCATTGAGCTCATCATTTCTTATAGCACAGTAGTATTTCATTACAATCATATACCACAACTTGTTCAACCATTCTCCAATTGAAAGGCATCTCTGCAATTTCCAGTTCTTTGCCACCACAAAGAGAGCTGCTATAAACATTTTAGAACATATAGATTCTTTTCCTTTTCCCCTAATAATCTTTGGAAAAAGACAAAGTAATGGTATTGCTGGGTCAAAGGGTATAGTAGTTTAATAACTCTTTGGGCATAATTCCAGATTGCTTTCCAAAATGGTTGGATCAGTTCACAATTCCACCAACAATGAATTAGTGTCTCAATTTTCCCACATCTTCTCCAACATAACACTTTCTCGTGCTATTATTTTAGCCAATCTGGTAACTGTAAGATGATATTTCAATATTCATTTTATAAACATTTATTAAGTCTCTACTATATGCCAGGCACTGTACTAAGTGTTAGGGATTGAAAGACAAAATGCTTCAAAGAATCATCAATTTTCAGAGTTAGAAGGAACTTCAGTATCCATCCAGTCCAATCCATTCACCAAAGGACACCTCAATTTAACATATTCGAGAAATAATCATCCAGCTTCCACTGGAAGACCCCGATGAAGGGGCAACCCTCCACCTGAGTCAGCCCACTTTACTTTTGAACAGCTCTGATTGTTAGGAATTTCTATTTTTTTGTTTGGTTGTTTCATTGGTTGGTTAGTTTTTGTTCAGGCCAAAAAGCCAACATTGCACCTCTACAACTTTCGCCCATTACTTCTGGTTTTACCCTCCATGGCCAAATAGATCCAGGCTAATCTCTTTTCCATGCGACAGTCCTTCGGATTTTTGAACAGCACTAACATAGCCCCCTTGTGTCTTCTCTTCTCAAGGATAATTGTAGGCAACAGATCCTCCAGTGACATAGACATAAGGCCCTCCACCATCCTGGTGGCTTTCCTTTGAATATTCTTCAACTTTTCCATGTCCTTCTAAAACTATGGTTCCCAGAATTGAGTATGAGATTGAAGATAAGATTTATAAGGGTATAAGAGAAAGTACAAAGAGAATATCAGTGTCCTGTTGCTGGAAACTATGCCTTTTAACATAGTCCAAGATTGAATTAACTTTTGTTTGACTACCACATCCTACATAATTCATACTAAGCCTGAAGTCCAAGAAAACCTCAAGATATATTGCCCCACAACAGGCTCTACCCATCCTTCGCCACCTCCTGGTTTTGTAATTGTGAAGTTGATTTTTTGTACCTAAGTGCAAGACTTTACATTTATCTCTATTGATTAGATTAATTCCAGTACTCTAAACTGACAAGATCTTTTTGGATCAAGACTTTGTTATCCAGTATTTTACTTATCTCTTCCAACTTTAAGGATCTTACTTTAAGAATTCTGCTGGCAGGTAGGCATCTAGGTGGTGCAGTGGATAGATTGCTAGGTCTGGACTCAGGAAAACCTGAATTCAGATATGGCCTCAGACACTAGCTGTGTGACCTTGGCAAGTCACTTAACTTTTGTCGCCATTTCCTCATCTGTAAAATGGAACTAATAATAGTATTTACCTCCCAAGATTGTTGCCAGGATCATATCAGATAATAATTATAGAATGCTTAGCAAAATGCTTGCCACAAAGTAAACAATAAAGTCTAGCTATTATTATTATCATTAATGCATTACCATCCCCAGGTGTTAAAAGTTGTTGTTTATAGGGTCAGTATGAAATGACATTGAAGTAGCACCCAGGAAGGCCTACTGCCAATTCAGGATATGTTGACTCTACTTGTACAATCCACCTTACTGAAACGTTGGGGGGAAACAGAGGAAATAATTTTTGCAAAGTGATTAGGAAATCTTAGAGCACCCTCCAAAGTGATTCATTATTAGTATTATTTTAAGAGAACAGAAGCTACTGTTTGTAGATAACAACATAAAATTTTACAAAGCGCTTTCTCAACAACCTTTTGAGGGAGATCAGAAGAGCATCAGTTTTGAGCTGTAAGGGACTTTAGAAATCACTGAGACCAACTCTCATTTTTGTTGTTGTTCAGCCATTTTTCAATCACATCAGCTTCTTCATGACCCTATTTTGGGTTTGCTTGGCAAAGATACCAGAGAGTGGTTTGCCATTTCCTTCTCCAGCCCTTTTTACAGATGAGGAAACTGAGGCAAACAGAGCTAAGTGACTCGCCCAGAGTCACACAGCTAGTAAGAGTCAGAGGCCAGATTTGAATTTAGGTCTTCCTGACTCCAGGCTGAAAAAAAAAACAAACTGAAGCCCAGTGATTAAGTGACTTTCCCAGGGACACACAGATAATAAGTATGAGAAGTGGGGTTGAACCATGGTCTTTCAGACTGCGAGTCCTACACAGGATCCACCCTTCCAGACAAGTAAGTTGAAATTCTGCTTCTGGTATGAGCATGCTGTATGACCGTGGGCAACTCACTCAACCTCTCTGAGTCTCAGTTTGGTGGAGGGCATCCTGGTATAAGAGCAGTTAATCATAAACAGCGTTGATGTGAAAGAGGTCAGTGTCAAACAGATGCAAACTCTGTGAGAATGTTTTTTTCTTCTTCTCCAGTTTTTCCAGCTTACTAGCTGCATGTTGGTAGGAAAGTCGCTTAACTTCTCTGAGCCTCAGTTTTCTAATCAGTAAGATGAGGATAAGAATACATCCACCACGTACGTTGTAAGTCTATTGAAAATATCATATGAGATGCTATATAGGAAAGCACTGAAGCATACAAAATATTGTACGAATATCAGGTAGTTTTTTATTACTTTGCCCTGAGTAAGATGCTCTTTTAGCCTTCTGATAAATTGAAGAGCTTCCAAACAAAGTCGTCCAGGATGACCAAAGGAACATGTCATCATAGGATGATAGCTATCTGCTATTGGAATGGGCTCTTTTGAGAAATGATGGGTTTCCCATTTCTGGAGGCCTCAAAGCAAAAACTGGATGACCACTTGGGTAAATCGCAAAGAAGATTCTTGTGTAGTGATGGATGTTGAATTAAGATGGTCTCTGAGTTGCCTTCTAACTTTGCGGTTCTATATAAAAGGGTAAATTGAATGCTTACCAAATGGTAGACAAAAGACAGCAAATATGAAAGAATTCAGCATTGCTATTACACCTCAGAATGGTTATGGGTGACTGAACAACAGAATTTCTTGCTCGCTTCGCATCATAATGGTGCAGGTAGTATCTCAGACTCTTAAATCTCAAAGTAGTCTCTTTTGGGTAAGGCACAGCCTTGAAACTGCACTCTAGAGCTATCTCTCAGGTGGCTTTCTATTAGAAATTGTGATGACGATATTGGTATCTTCCCACACTCCCTGTCAGGTTTACCTTGTGGGGAGTGGACAACACAGGGCGACGTTCCAGACCAAGTGATGTGATAGTGAAGACCCCCTGCCCGGTGGTAGATGACGTGAAAGCCCAAGGTAAGAAAGCCAGGTTTTGACAAAGAATGTTGTGGTTAGAGAGCCCTCCCCTTTGCTAAGAACACCAAAGATGCCCAGTCCTTACATATTAGAAGGAATGTCTTCTATTACCTCCTCTTCTTATAATCCTTGGATTCCTTCAAAGGTTAGCTTAATAAGCACTTTCTTCCATGAAAGCTTTCCCAATTCCCTCACTTTCTAGTGTTTTCCCTCCAAAAATTATCTGGTATTTATTTTTATATGTTTGCATATATTTAAATAGGTAAATATTATCTCCACTCAATAGAATTTTGGGGTGGGGTAGGCTATTTCTTTTCTTTCTTTGTATCTCCAGTGCCTAGTGCAGTACCTGGTACATAGCAAGTACTTATAATTGCTTATTGATCAAATGAGTCTGGAAGGAAAGTATTAGACAGTATTAGAATATTAGAATTACATTAGAATTACCTTCTCACATTGAAATGAGAAGGTATTTGGAGGCTAGTTCAAAAAGTAGGAATTTTCTCTTCACCATGGAGCCTCCCCACTAGGGCTGACACTTTCTGAAGAAAGTGGTGAAAGAGGCAAACTTTGCCTTTAGCAGATCTTATTTTCTTGAAACCACTGTTCCCATCCTCCCCAGAGGAAGCATCCAGGGCCCTCCTGCTTGACTCCACCACTGTGGCTTCCCAAGGAGTGCTAAACTGACAGGGTAGTACCCCATGATCTGAGACTTGCCAGACTTTTGGGGTGTCCTGTTCCATCAGAGGTCAGCTAGGTTCTGATCATTTACTCAACCCCACAAGGGAAGAGCCCTCAATTCAGTTAGAGAGATGTGCCCTCTCCCTCTTCACTGATGGGCATTGCCGCAGTCAAACTGACAGGTGCTAAGGACCTTAGCTTTAAAAGACCAAATCTCTACCACATCTGGGGCCATCTCCAGTCGTCCTGATCTTTATCTTGTCACTGGATCCAGACGGCTCCAGAGGTGAAAGTGAGGCTGGTAACTCTGCACAGCCCTCCCTCACTTAAATCCAATTCACTTGCATGTCATGGCGTCATCTCCATGATGTCATGGTCCTCTTTGAGAATGAAGGATGAACAACAACAACAATAATCACCAGCTTCTAAGGGACTTACTGTAGAATGTAACAACTGTAGACTTACCTGCTGACTTAGGACTGCCCTGGTTGAGCCAACCCTCTTCCCAACAGGAGAAAGTACTCTGCTGCTGAGGAGTCAAGTTATCCTACTTCTGGTGAGCCTCATCTTCTTGATAAATCAGTCAGTTAACATTTATTTAGTACTTACTAGGGGACAGAAAGTGTGCTAAGTACCAGACCTATACATCCTTATCACCTTTTTTTTTTCTCCTAAGGAAAATCCTCTTGATGTAATATGAGAGCTAATGCCTTTCTTTAGATGTACAGTCTATAGTTATTCAGACAATGCTAGCGGATGGCAAAGCCCAGGTTTTCTCTTCTACTATCATAACTCTACCCCTGATACTCTGTGGCTCTAACTCTTGATCAGTCCCAGAACTCCTTTATTTTATCTAAAAACTTGGCATTTTCGGGAACCCTTTGCTCTTCTTTATAGGGATCTCAGTCCAAGACTCATTATTACCCAGTATCTCCTTCTCAACATCCAGGAGCCTGGGTCTCAGAATTCCTCAGATCTGTACTATTACACTCCTACTGAAAACTCCCATGTTCAGTCAAAGAAAAACATTTAGCTAAATGAGATAATTTAAGTACAGTGCTTTGCCAACTTTAAGACACTATTGCAATGTGTCCATTGTCCCAGTGTATATATAATCTGAAATATAGCAGAGTGGACTGAGGCTTCCTTTAAACTATGTGGATTGAGGCTAATTATATTCTGCTGCAGAGTGCTGGGCCTGAAGTCAGGAAGAATCATCTTCCTGAGTTCAAATTCAGCCTTTTAGGTGGACTTACTGCCTGTGTGACTCTGGGCAAGTTACTTAACCCTGTTGGCCTCAGTTTCCTCATCTGTAAAATGAGCTGGAGAAGGAAATGACAAACTGCTCCAGGAACTTTGCCAAGAAAACTCAAATAGGGTTACAAAGAGGTAAACATGACTCAAAAAAACTGAACAACAACAACAAATATTGTACTATGAGGGTATTTCGACTTTAAAGATTGCGGTCCATAGAGTTGCAGGCAAACACTAGGCTTCCAATGGTACTTTCACCTAGTTATAGAAACCTTTTCCCTTAGACATCATTCCTAGGACCTAAATAAACTACAGGGCCACATAGAGTCCTAAGAGGTTTTTGGTCTACATAGGAGAGGCACTGTTATGTGAACAGCCATCATTGAGCTGAACAATTCAGTATTGGGTTAGAGTTAGAATTGTTAGAAAGTTGGAAAACCCTCTTGGATAAAGCCTATGTTTTTAACCTGAATTCTATATAACTGGCAATATTGTCAGATAACCCCCCTGCCTCCTATGAACATGTGATGCTTTTCATTCAAGTCCATTCAACTGATTCAGTGAGAAGGGTACTAGAAGATGACCTGTCACATGACCTGAATTTGAAACCTGACCTTATCACTTACCGTCAGTGTGACCTTGGGCTACACTCAATCTCTATGGGCTTCAATTTCTCATCTGCAAAATGAGAGCTTTGGACTAGGTGACCTCAGAGGTCCCTTTTGACACTAAATCTGTGATCCTGTGAAGTCAGATCAACAAGCATTCATTAAGCACTGACAGCATACCAGGCATTGTTCTTAGCCCTGTTCATAACGATGGCAGAAATGAAATCCTTGTTCTCTTGCAGCTTATATTCTGTTGGTTGTTATGACAGGGAGAGATAAGTGAATACAAAAAAAAATATACAAAGTGATTGAATGGGTGTAGGGGTAGAAGAGAGGGCATTGGGAAAGACTTCACATGGGAGATGATGTTTGAGGGGATCCCTGAAGCAAGCCATGAGGCAAAAATGAGAAGGGAATTCATTCTAGGCATGTTGACATCATCCATGAAGTCACAGACATGGGAGATGGAATATCATGTATGAATATCATGTAGGTCAGTGTGGCTGAATGTAGGAGAGGGCAAAATTTAACAATGGATGTAGGTTGTACAAGGCTTTACATGCCAAGCAGAGAAGTGTGTACTTTTTTCTGAAGGCAGTAGGGAGATAGTGAAGTTTTTTGAGAAGGGGAGTGACATGGTCAGGCCCATACTCTATAAGAATATCAATTTATGCTACCCGGTGCAGGAGTCTTTCTTGGTCCCTCCCTCAGCTGCTAGTGCCTTCCTCTCAAAAATTACCTCCTATCTACTCTGTATGTATTTTGTATGTATACACATTTTATTTTAAGCACCTGATTTTCTCCAGTTAGAATGTGAACTCTGAAAAGACAGTTTCTGTCTTTATGACCCTTAGCATAGTACCTGACACAGTTACCTTGCTTAGTAAATGTGGTGATTAATTAATAGTTGTATGGAGTATGTATTAGAGAAGACACTAGTGGGAAGACCTGTTAGGAGTTATAGTGATAGTTCAGGCTCAAGGTAATAAGAACTTGATGGAAGAGAAATTGTAAAAGTAGAAATGACAGCGTTTGGCAGGAGTGAAGAGTTGAGGATGTAAGGATGGCTCTTAGCTTGAAAAGTTGGGTGAATAGAAGGATGACAGCACCTTCCACAAAGAAAGGGAAGTTTAGAATATAGGTGAATTTCAGGTAAAAGATGATGTGGATATGGTTGTCAGCTAGGACTCATTGGTTGTCCATTGTAGGTGATGCCATTTTTCCCTGCCCATGGGTTAAAACAGAAATCAAATGGGCATGAAAGTGACCTGGGACCTGGCATGCCTGGACAATTTTTTTTTTTTAATTGAAAGGCAACTTCTGTGTAAGAGAAAAAGCTAATTGGATAGAGTGCTGGACCTGGAGTCTAGAAGACCTAAATCACCAGACTGGTACTCTGTGTATCTCTGAGGCAGAAGTAGGTATGTTATCCCACAATAGAATTTAAGTTCTTTCTGGGAAAGGGTAATCTTTTATTTTTGTCTCTAATACCTAGCATGGTGCCTTTCACTTAATAACATAGGTAATTAAATAAATATCTGTTGAATTAGGTTGAATTGAACTGAACTTGAACCAGATGATTGCTCACACACCCACACACACCCACACCCACACACACACACACACACGTATGTATGCATATAGGTATATATATATATATATATATATATATATATATATATATATATGTATTATGTTACGTGCAATCATTATCTATATATGTACATCTCTTTATATAGTCATTGCCTTCTCTTTTTTTCCTCCTTTCCTCTCAGAAATAGCAGACAAGATCTACAATCTCTTCAATGGCTATACCAGTGGGAAAGAACAACAGACTGCGTATAACACCCTCTTGGACCTTGGCTCTCCCAGCCTCCACCGAGTCCTCTATCATTATAACCAGCATTATGAGAGTTTTGGCGAGTTCACTTGGAGATGTGAGGATGAATTAGGCCCCAGGTAATCGGCAAATTGTATTGTCTGCTTTAAATCTCTGAGTTCCCCTCAAGTTTAATGACCACAGCAAGCTGTAGATAATCTAGTCATGAATTTTCACCTTTCTGAACTTTCCTGGGTGAGCTTGGTTGCTCAGAAGAGAGACTCCTCAGCTTTTACACTACTCTGTCAACCTTAGTTCTGTTTTAACATGATTTGATTAGTCCAGTCTAACACACACTCCCTAAGCTCCCAGAATACCTGTGCCCTGAGCCTGGAGGATGTTCCTCTAGCTGAGCCCTAAAAGATGTTTTAGGTGGTGGCATTTCAAATGGTGAAAGCAGCTGAGCTAAAACATTTATTTCCTGGAAGGGATTTAGGAAGATTGGAACAGAAGATTCAACAAATAGCTCTTCTTTGATGCCCTAAGGAAAACAAGGGCTTCAGAGAGTCTGAAAACATATTTCATGCATTATGACATAGATATATAGAGTACACATGTATTTTTAATGAATTTGTTACATCCCTTTACCAGCATTGCACAAGGCCAGTAGACATATTAGTTTTAGAGTCTAGAGTTCCTCTTATTCACTCCCTTGCAACAAAACAAAATGCCACAGAAGTTATCCATTTTATTTTATCGTGTTTGCCTTCCTCTAACCAAGATCAAACGAAATCTAGTAGTTTGAACATCTGTCATGTTCCAGAGGGACAAGGGCCCATGACATTCCTTTTTCCTAGTTTCTCATTTGTTATAGAAAGAAGGGAGGTTTTGGCTTTTGTTTTGTTTCTTTTGTTTTATAAAAGTATTCTTATCTTCCTGAAATAAAATTATTTTCTCTGCTTGGCAGACTCTTGTCTCAGAAATCATAGCCTATATTTCTAGAAATGACTTCCCAGAACTTCATTTCATCATGAAAATTGTTAACATTCTGAATGTCCTTAATGTCCTCAGAATTTGGAAAAAAAATGCAACAAACATGTTGGCTTTGTGACCTGAGGCATTCCTTGAAAGAACAGATTTTTTTGCCTTTTTTCGAGATTGTAGGGAGGCCAGGACTTAAGGGAAAATAAGGTATCAGTCTGTGATAAAAGAACACTGGATTGTTAGCCTAATTGCAGTTTCAATATGGTCAAGTACAGACCTACATTAATTACTTTTGGAAAACAGTTAAGAGTTCAAAAGAACAAGATCAAGGAAGATGCCATCAATTTCCTTCTTTGAGGAAATAAATGAACATCTTCCCTTCTCTAGCATTTGAAAATGGTATAGAAACCCACCCTTCTGGCTTCTTCCTCCCAATAAGTCATTGGTGATGAAGGGAAATATGTTAGTAGAAGTTTAAGGGGTCCACCAAAGTCCTTGCTGATGACGAATCGGAAACTTGACATCCCCTTGGCCAGTCAGCTCATCCAAGCCACAAAGGACAATAGGTAAAGGAGAAATGGTTTATGGGTGATGGTATTTAGGCAGAAGACAGAGTGCTTGTTTGATTTTCTCTTGACCCAACTTTGAAAGCTGAGATGACTGTTACTGCCCCTCATCTGACCCCACACTACTCTCTCAGCCCAGAAATTACTCTTGCTGCATGACACCTTTACTCCCACAGCATCTCTGTGGCTTCCTATTGCAGTATCTTTGGAATGCAGTGACATCACCCTCAGTGACATTGGTTGCCATGGGGGGAAAAACAGACTGGGCAAAAACAATCAAAGCTGAAGAACAAGAATTTTTCCTCTTAAGGGTGAATGTTGAGTCATACTAGCAAGAGAGCTGACCTCCAGGTGAATAAGAGGCATTTCTTTGCTATATGTAGGGGCCATTTATCATTCTCTCAGAGAATGAGACTTTTTCACCTCTGAAAACTATCCCTAAATGGATGAGATGGTCTTGGAGGTTGTCATTTTTCAAGGTGACCAGGCAGAGGTCCATCTGGGCCATTTCTGAGGCCTCTTAGTAAAGGAATCATGCAAGATATTAGTTTGAAAAGACTTCAAGTCCAACCTCTAAGTAAATCATAGAGCCTTACCAGAAGGTAGTCATCTACCAGAATCACATGAATTCAGAAATGGAAGGGAACTCAAAGGGCATCTAGTCCAGCATGTAACCAGAATTTCCTCCAGATTAGACATGAGAAAGAAGCAATCAACCTGGGGAAATGAAGGGAAGCTTCTGCTGCTTGAGGCAATTTACTAAATTTTTGGATAGTTCTAATTATAAAAAAGATTTTTTTTATCCCCTATATCAAATCTAAATTTATTTCTTTACAACTTCTACTTATTACTCCTATTTTTGCCCTGTGAAACCAAGCAGGACATATTAATCAATCTTCCATGTGTATTCCCTTTAAATAGTTGAAGACACCTATTGTGTCACTGATCTCTGACCCCATTATGCCCTTAACATCCCCCTTCACACACACACACACACACACACACACACACACACACACAGAGTCTTCTTCAGAGAAAACAAATTCCTTTAAGCAATATTCATATACCATGGTTTTTTGGCCCCTCACAATCAGAGTAACCTTACACCAAGTACCCCACATCACCTCCTTAGCAGCCATTCTATAGTGTGACCCTAAAAATTGGACACATCCTACATCTGCTGTGGTTGATGGTCCTCAGAGTACAACAACACTGTCAAATGCTGCAATCTGGACACTATGATTTTATTAATGCAACTTACTGAATTCAACCAACATTAATGAAGTATCTACTTTGGCAAAGCCACAGAAAAAGAGGATTTCAAAAGGTAGGGATTAACATGTCCAAGGCATCATTGACAGAATGAGTAAAAAATCCATGGAGATAGGAGAATGCAGAATGAAATCGGGAATAAACTAGAAGTTTAATTTGGTGGAAACTAGAAGGGAAGAAATATGAAACATATGGAGGGCACCAAGAAAGACCCTTGGAAGTTTATACTTTATCATGTAAATAAAAGGAAGCCACTGAATATGGCCAAAGGGGATCCAAAATCTTCTTGTCCCGTCTGCCGGATTGCTCAGCAGACTCACATAAGGCTTTCAGTTCTCATTGCCTTTGTACCTGCATTTTTTTTTCATATTAGCTGTTTTCTAGTCAATTTTTCACTAGCCTTTGCTGATGCAGACTTTTTGAACCCAAGTGCAGAACTTTATATTTATCTCTTCCTATTAAATTAAATCTTGTTTGCCTCAGCTCATTATCCCAATCTGTCAAGGTCCTTGTGGATCTTGATTCTCTCATATAATCTGTTAGCTATCCTTCCTAGCTTTATTTCATCCATGAATTTCCCATCTTGTTCCAATGAATTTTGGAGTTAGAAAAGACCACCAAATTACTCACTGAAATCCAACTATGTCTACACCTTTAACTTTTTTCCTGTTTTTAACCATATTTTTAAAAATGGTGTTGACCAAATGATTTGTTCTTAATGCTAGCTCCTAGAGATAATTTTTTTCCTTAAGTGATCATAAAACTTCCTTTTGTAATCCATTCTATAATTATTCCAAGAACAATAATCCCACTTATAGTTTGAAAAGCCTGTCCTTCCATTCTGGTAAATTGCTATCTATCATCTATCTTGGTTCCTTAAAGATCACTGAGAGTGGCTCACTAATTACATTCATAAATTTCTTCATTATCATAGAATGAAGTTTAATTAGGTCTGGTGGCTTGAACTCATGAAGGTCTGTTCTGGTATTTCAATTACTCTCCACTCCCAGGCTGAACCTTTCTTAGAACAAAGACAGAACTAAAAAATGGAGGGGGAGGGAGAGGGGAAACACTGCCTACATAGCTGTATCAAGTTAGATGCCATAGAAAATAGCAGTTACACCATAGAAAAAGAATGGCAGTGAAGATACAGGAAACAAAAACCCCATAAGCACAAATGCACAGAGTATGGGAAATAAACAAGGTAATCCAGCGATCTCTAGGAGAGGAAGCAAACATGAGTCAATAGGTATCACTGAGTCTTGGCAAAATGGGGCTCATGAATGGAATGAGACACTGGAAGGGTGCATTATATTATTTAACAGTGAAAGAACAGATAAAGGTTGGGGGTAGGTTGGGTAGTAACGTTGTATACCAAGAAGAAATATGCATCAGACGTGAAGAATATATTGGTGAACATCAGGAGGAGAAGGAGAAAAAAAGTGGCATGGTTGTGGGGCATACTATAGACCACCTGGTCAGGAGGAAGAAATAAACAAGGCATTCAGGAAGCATATCGCCATAGCACAGTATAATGGTAGAGTTTGATTATCTGAACATCTATTACATCTCTCTTTGTGGAAGAAAAAAACTGGAATAGCTAATAAATTCTTCACTAACCTTTATGATCCTTTTTCGTTCTTTCAAAAGGGTGGATGTAGTAGGCGAGAGAACTGTAATTCCCAACATGATTCTGCCTACCAAGAAGATACTAGTTGCCAAAGAAATATAGGAAGCTTGGGGGCAAATTAAATGCTCTGTCTTAGAATGTGTGATAAATTCTAACATAATCCAGTACACACATTAGATTTGGAGAGAGTAGATTTAAATGAGTTTAGAGAGAATCAGTAGGATCATGTGGGTTAAAATTCTATAAGGAAAGTCATCTCCAAAGAGGTAAGAAGCTGTCAACACCTAAATTCATCAGGTGCAATCCAAAACAATTCTAATAATGAAAAGGGGAGGAGATCTGTCTAAAAAGAATGATGTGGTTGTACAGAGAATTCATAAACTAATTTAGTTTGAGAAAAAGACTAAAGGAATTGGAAATAAGGTTAGATAGCATAGCTTGAATACAAAAGCATGGTGCAGTTTTGCAGAAATAGCATCCAGAGAGTTCAAACTTACAGTGAGTTAAGCCTGGGGAAGGAGGCTAAGAATAACATAAATAATTTTGTTAAGCTATGCTGAGAAAAAGTAAAAGATCAAAGAAGGGATAGAATTGCTATTTAGAGGAAATGGCATGATATTAACAGGAGATGGAAGGAAATGCAGAGTGATGAAAACCATATTTCTGTTCTTTGTTTCCCTCCAAAGAAGAATGATTTTGGGACTGGAAAAGGAGGAGCAGAAATGGGTTATAGGCGGTTGAAACCTGAGATAATTAAGTAAATAGTATACCCTTTGCTGCCAATAATAATCACATGTCATTATTAATAATGTTTATTAATAACTAATGTGTATTAAATGTACTAAGGTTTGCAAAGTGCTTTACATGTGCTATTTTATTTCATCCTTACATCAGTCCTGTGAGGTAGATGCTATTTACTTTATCATCTTGCAAATTAAGAACTCGAGGCTTAGAGAGATGAAAATCATCAGGCCTGGATAAATTCTATCCTGGGGTACTAGGTAGAATGGGAAGATGTGATTGCTGAGCCACCATCATTGTCTGAAACCATCATAAGTACTAAAATAAATACTAAACATTTATTAAACACTTACTACGTTCCAGGCACCTTTCTAAATACCGGGGATCCAAATACAAAAAAAGAAAGACAGTCCCTGCCCTCATAGAGCTTCTAGTCTAGTAAGAGATCATGGAGAGCAAGAGTGGTGCTGTAGTACTAGTGGAGGCCAAAGGTCTTTATTTTAGAAAAAAAGGAAGGGAATCCAATTTGGCAATTATAGGCTAGGTTCCTGGCAAAGTTACAAAAAGGGCTAGTTTGTGATTATCTTAAGAAAAGTAGCAGTGATCACTGAGAGTTGATGACCTTATTAAGAAGAAATCATGACATGCTAACCTCATTTCCTATTTTTATGGGTTACTTGACTGGTAAACTAGGAGGATGAAATAGACAAAGTTTCTCTATATATCAGTAAAGAATTTGGCAAAGCCTTTCAAAATTCCCTTGTGGAGAAAATTGAAATATAACATAAGAAAATAGCACTGTTAGGTGGATGTGGAAGTAGTTTAAAAAAAAAGAGTAATTATTAATACCTTGATATCAACTTGGAGGGTGGTTTCTTGTGGAATATGTCAGGAATATGTCTATAGTCCTGGTCTTTCGAGCATTTTAATCAATCATTTATATAAATGAATAGTTGGTGTGCTTATCAGATTAAAGATAACACAAAACTGGGAGAGATGAGTAATACTTTGACAGAATCCAAAAAAAAAACTCTGTGCCCTAGAATGATGGGCAAAATTTAATAAGTCAAAATTTAATGGAGACAAATGTAAAGACATACATTTGGTTAAAAAAATTCAATTTCAGAAGTATGAGATGGCAAGAAATGGTTATAGAGCAGTGCCAACTCAAAATCTAGGATTGTAAACTGGTGTAAGTCAGCAGAGTGTCATAACCCCACCATCACATGCTATTCCTTAAAGAATAAAAATAAAGAAAAAAAGGAAGAAAAATGTTAAGCAAGGAAGGAAAGGAAAGGAAAGGAAGGTAGGAAGGAAGGAAGGAAGGAAGGAAGGAAGGAAGGAAGGAAGGAAGGAAGGAAGAAGGAAGAAGGAGGAAGGAAGGAAGGAAGGAAGGAAGGAGAAGGAAGGAAGGAAGGAAGAGGAAGAAGGAAGAAGGAAGGAAGAAGGAAGGAAGGAAGGAAGGAAGGAAGGAAGAAGGAGGAGGAAGGAAGGAAGGAAGGAGAAGGAAGGAAGGAAGGAAGGAAGGAGAAGGAAGGGAGGAAGGAAGAAAGGAAGGAGGGAAGGAAGGAAGGAAGGGAGGAAGGAAGGAAGGAAGGGAGGAAGGAAGGAAGAAAAGGATATGATTTTGGATTACATTGAGAGACATAGTTTGCAGAGCAAGAGAGGTAGTAATTCCATTGTACTCTGCCCTCATCACATCATAGATAGATTATTTAGTCAGTTGTTGGTGCCATACAGGAGGAGGAGAAGGAGAAGGAGAGCATTGTTAATCTAAAGAGGGAAAACCAGGAAGTTAAGAAGCCTAAGGACCATACCACGTAATGTTGATGGAAGGAGTCAGAGATATTTAGCAAGGAAAAGGGAAGAACGAGTTGGAATATGAAGGATTTTAGTATGGTAGAAGAATTCTATTTGATCTGATTTGGACCAGAAGAGAGAACTGGGGATAATTTTGGTTCAATGTAAGGACAAGAAAAACCTTGCTAAATATTAGTTATCCAAAAATTGAGTGAGTAGCCTCAGGAGATCCCCACTTAATAAAGGCATCCAATCAAAGGCTGAAGAGCCAATTATTGAGTAAATTGCAGAGAGGATTAATGGTCAATATGGTTATGCTAAATGACTCCAGAGGTTGCTTCCAGCTCTCATCTTCTGTGATCCTTTTAGTAGTTCTACCTTCTCTCTGTCACCTCCCTATCTATGCAAAACCGAGGTCCTATCCCTTCCTGCACCTTCCTTTTATTGTCAGCTTAACTTAAAAAGTGCTGACCATTGAGTGGGATAATCCTCTTGCTTTCTTATATTTCTGATTCTGACTCAATGAATTGCAGGATTTGAGATCTAAGGACTTACGATATTATATTAGATATATCCCATAAGGACTCAGCAGAAAAAGGTTGCTTTAGAGAAAGATAAATGCATCCACAAAGACTGTTGGAGCTTTAGTCTAGTTTTACTGGACAGTAGGCCAGGAAGTTACCCCATGGTCATCTCCCCTCAAGGAAGTTTCAGTGATCAAATGTTCCCTTACTTTTGAGGAGGGCTATGAGCATACTACATTGAGGTCTGTGGGGCCATGATCCCCAACTTTGTTCTTCTCTCATACGGGTGATGCCCCACCACTAATATACTTTCTCTTTGACTCCAGAAACACAGAATCTTAGTACTGGAAGACAGAGCAAATTTCTAGTTATTTAACTCTGAGGTTTAAATCAGATTAATGTAGCCATCTAAGTAACCCTCAGGGATGTGTAGAGGTAAGAAGCATGACTCCACCTTGGAAGGTTAATGAGGTGATGGATCCAAAGAGGTGAGTTCTGGAAAATTGTAATATAAGTGTGAGCCAGTCAGATTGTTGTGCTTATACTTATCCTCCTCACATTACAACTTATTGTTTCAGCATCTGTATCATTGAGTCCATGGGTAGCTTTACATCCAGCTCAATCCCTTTATCCAAAGTTAAAAACTACTGAAATGTGAGAACTTCTATCACTCCAGATGTTTTGTTTTAATTTTTTTCCTTCTAGAAAGAGAATCATAGCATAAATAAAAATGCCTTGGTTATTTGAACTTTTTAATGTCTTTCTGAATTGACTGATCAATCCAAGCCAGTTTTCATTCATGGACATAAGTAGTCTGTTCTCTTACAGATTAAGAGACTCATTTATTTTTGTCATTGAAAACCCATTATTCATTGTTTCTTTATTTTGTGTGTGTGTCCTCATCCATATTATTTCTCTATCTTTCATTATTTCATTTTGTTTCTCTACTTCCTTTTTCCATTATACCGTATTGCCAACCTCTGTTCCTACACCTCCATTCTCTTCACTCTCTCTTATTCATTTTCTCCATTTTTCCTTCCATCTTTTTGCTCTTTGCCTTGTGTCTTCTTGTCCCTTTAACTGGCTCACCAATCTATCATCTTCATGTTTGGTCCGCAGGAAAGCTGGACTCATCCTCTCCCAACTGGGAGACCTCAGCAACTGGTGCAATGGCCTCCTTCAGGAACCCAAGATAAGCCTACAGCGCACTTCACTCAAATACTTGGCCTGCCGCTATCGGGAGATCAAGCCTTATGGACTGGAGTGGTCAGAACTTAGCCGAGACCTCAAGAAAACCTGTGAGGAGCAGACGCTCAGTGTCCTGTACAATGATTATGGAGATAACAAAGATAACTAGAGATTCAGGGTACCTGCAGGGGGCTACCAAGACTAAGCAAGAGGGAGGAAGGGCTTTTGGGTTGGTTTGTTGATTAAACTTTTTTTTTAATGGACTACTGAAACCTCCAAAGGCAAAATAACAGAAACCAGGGAGACATGTTCACTGCTCTCTGCAGGACTTCTTCGGTATGAAATTCTTCTTCAGTATGATTCTTCTTCAGCATGACCTGCCAGTCTGAGGTTTCATATGATGCCCTTTTCCTTTGAGGGATTTCTTTAGGATTTTTGTCGTTGTTGTTGATTTGTTTCCCTCACTTTTCTAAGAGTTTCATCAAACTGCTCCATGCTCCAGATGAAAAATCTGTCATGCACAGACTTTCCTTTCTCCCTCTGTCTGAACCCCATGCTCCTCACTGTGTTTCCCTCCTGTCCCACATTCAGAGGGATATACTCAGAGAAAGGGCTGAGAGTTCAGTCCATTAGACTTACCAAGCGTATGTAGTCTGTAGTGTGGTATAGACATGTCAACTATGACAAAGGATGGGTTTGAATTCACCCACCACAGAGCTCCTGATTTTCACAAAGGTGCCAATGGGGCAAGAGTGGGGCAAATAACAGCCACCTCCTCTATCCCCCATTCATTCCTTGCTAAACAGAATGTAAGTGAGCTATACCTATAGAATTGAGGCTCAGACGAGAATTGAAAAAAACAAAACAAAACGAAAAAAAAACCCAACCTCATCTGGAGAGAGGCTCCTGTCCATCTCTCCCATTTTTTCTTCTTTCCTCTGCCTCATCACTACATTAGAAACTTTAGGGCATTTCTCTCTCAGGGTGAGATCTGCCATTGTTTTTGTGCATCATAGAATATAGAAGGGGACCTTCAGAACTTCTGGCCATTTTTTTTTGCATCCAGGAAGGACTAAATGTAAACTCCACTGGGCAAGTGGATCTTTTTCCAATTCTCTGGTAAAGAGGAAGTGAATTCCCCACCTCCTCCCCTTTATATAGAATTATACCTTTTCCACTGGGGAAGAAAAGTTGGGGCAAAAAATTGTTCCTCTCTTGGTTATCTCCTGCAACAGTGGTTCCAGCATGAACATTTTCAGGCCAGAGAGAAATCTGTTTTATTTTGGCATTTTGTCCATAGCAGGCCAAATTACCAGGTTCTCTTTAGTCTTCTTACCATACCCACCCCCACCTGTAGACTCAGAGTTCACCTGATAATCATAGGAGTGGTGAATTTCCTTCATGTCAGTGTTTTAGCTTGCAAAGTGCTTGTAAAAAACTACTAGCTAGTTTTCCCCTACTAATCTTGCTAAATTATTCAGTTAATCTTGCAGATCTTTTCTCTTGATGACCTTTCAGGGGGCAAGGACTTCAATGAAGGTGTCCCCCCCACTACCAGTTGGGACCAGGCAGCACAGAGATTTCAACTAGGGAAGCACGGTGGAAGTTCAAAGGCTGTCATAATTGACACCCTGCTCCCTATGAGAATAGATTCTGTTGTGAACTTTCACCAAAGGCCCCTTAAGATGACATTCAGTCTATGCTGTCTCCCTCAGATGCCACCCCAAATGTTCAAGCTTCAACACTCCAAATACTTCAATACTTCGAACAAAATGTGCAATACTCCAAGCTTCACTGCCTTTGACCTTGTACTCTTTACTTGAAAGGACATGAGGAAGTTGGGGAAAGGAGTAAAAGTTTGTTGAGGCCAGGCATTGAATTAAGGTAGAATTTGACTTTTGTGAGAGCAGTTGAGGAGATGTGTTCACTCAGTCTCCAAACTTCAAATTCAGGTGATTCTAGAAATCTGTTCCCCACAGGGTGATTATCAGGGGATTGCCACAGCTTCCATAAAGGTCAGCCCAAGACTGATCCTCTAGGTACTGCTCTCCTGAGGGACCTTTGGAGGTGGCTGGTGAAAGAGGCAGAGTGCACCATTAGCCCTCCATCATTCCACCACTCTTGAATGTCTTTCATTGTTCTGGGGCACCAGCTCTATAGGTGGTTCTATAGTTCCATGTATATGTCTGTAAGTTGAACTTGACCTGGCCCCTTCTTCTTAAGAGTGAAGCTCATGATAAGTAAGGAGGAGTTTGAATCCTGGGTTCAAAGAAATTAGTGATGTTATCATGTCTGCTTCAAGAAGGCCAGGCTTCCAGCTCCGCATGATGAGCAAAGCTGGCTCATACTTTTCATCTTCTAGTGGACCTACTTGAGGAATCTCCGGGGATCTACTATCATGGCCAACAGAGGACTGTATTCACTAGCACTTCCGCTACATCAGTACGCAACCTAAGGTGAAATGTTGAGGTTTTTACAAGATCTTTCTGTTTCCCTGCTCTCTCATCAGAGATTTCTCATTGATGAGAGTGGTTTAGTATTTAATTAATAATAATAGTAATAAAAAAGTAGGCATGAGGCAGGAGTTGGGGTGGGGTGGGGGAGTTGCCTTTGGTGCTGCTCACTGCCTTTGCCCCCTGTTCCTCTAGAAAAGTGTTATGGTGATAACACCAATGTCTTCCCACCCTTGTAATGAGTATGCTGATGGGCCTTGGAGAAGAATGAACTGTAACATTATCTTGGAACTTGCCCCTTCTCTGCTTTTGCCTTTGATGTATTGCCTCTCTCTCTCTCTCTCTCTCTCTCTCTCTCTCTCTCTCTCTCTCTCTCTCTCTTGCTTCATTTCTTCTTTTCCTTTTGTTTGTATTCCTTATCCCTTTGACTGCCTTCCTTCTCTTCTGTCTTCTTCTCTCATCCTCCTATATTCCCTATTTGCTGTCTAGTCCATTCTCCCCTGAACACCCTTCTTCATTTTATTCTCATACTCCTCTTCCCTTCCCTGAGTTTCTATAGAATCCCCTTCCTCTATTTTGTTCTGTTCCATCTCTCTACTTTTCTCTTTTTCTTAGTCTTGGTCCCATGCTACCACCATTGACCCTCCAGGTATAAAAGAGGGCCGTATAAGAACAGGGGCATCCTTAGAACAGATAAGCAATGTTGTAAAAATTGTAGTCCTGTCATCACTAGCTGTCATGCAATGAAGTTGCCCCAAGGATTCCCAATAGCTAGAAGTTGATAGTGGTACCTTTTCAGTATTAAGCCTCCCATTTTCCAGACTGCCAAACTAATAAGTCCTTAGGTAGTTCCTCTCCTCTCCTCTCCTCTCCTCTCCTCTCCTCTCCTCTCCTCTCCTCTCCTCTCCTCTCCTCTCCTCTCCTCTCCTCTCCTCTCCTCTCCTCTCCTCTCCTTCCTCTCTCTCCTCTCCTCTCCTCTCCTTCCTCTCCTCTCCTCTCCTCCCTCCCTCTCTCCCTCTCCTCTCGTCTCCTCCCGTCTCCTCTCCTCTCCTCTCCTCTCGTCTCCTCTCCTCTCCTCTCCTCTCCTCTCCTCTCCTCTCCTCTCCTCTCCTCTCCTCTCCTCTCCTCTCCTCTCCTCTCCTCTCCTCTCTTCTCCTCTCCCCTCCCCTTCCCTCCTCTCCTCCCCTCCTCTTTCCTCTCACTCTTCTTCTCCCTTTTCCTCCTCCTCTCCCTCTCCCTTCTCCCCACTCCCACTTCTCTTCCACTAGGGGACATGTTCTTATGCAGCCGAACCTCTTCTGGTGTTCCCCTTTGGACACATATGTGTCACTTTCTAATAGCATCCTGGCTTTTAACTCACCATTCAGTTATTTTCTTTGGAGATTGGTCCATTTGTTATTTTTGGTTAATGATTGAAGACGACCACCATACTTCTTGCTATTCAGATGACCTATTAAGAAACCTAGTGTGAGAAATATCCTTACTGCTGTAGATGGGATGAAAGAACACCATGTGACCAACTTCAGGTATTACAGTATTATTTAAAAAATATTGTACACTTGTTTTAAAAACATGAAAAAGTTAACTAAATATTAAACAAGGCTGTTAGTATTTGTTGGTTGTGTGAATTTGTATATCTATTCTAGATGATCGAGAAACAGGACAATTCTTTGGATTTTGATTATTACTTTTTACTTTTGTCAGGGGAGTTGAGTGGGTGAGTGGGAGGGTGAGCCAATATGTATAAGAGTTGGGATTTGAACTCCAGTCTCCTTGATGCTGAGGCTGCTTCTCTATCTACAACCCCAGGATACCATATCTTTCTCTCTTCTCATACTTTAATATTACTAGTATTTGCCCACTAGATCATTCTTCACTTTGAAATAATCACCAAGATTTTTATGGCCAAGACATTGGAAAGAAGTCAGGTGATGATTGTGTTATACACCCAAATAGTGGCAGAAGTTTAAAAATTTTGGCCTCTAAGCAAAAGTTGACAAAGGGACTTCCTGCAGATCCTGATCCCAGAAATACCAAACCCTGGCTAAGGAAGAGAGGGCAGAGTTCTGTTAATAGGTCTATTATAGGCTGTTCTCCATACAAAGACTTTCTGGAGGGATGCCCAATGAAAGTTTCTGCTTACCTCTCTCGATAAAGGAGTACAATAGAAATGTGTCTGTCTTCATAAAATCAGATTAGGTGAACTCAGGTAAGTCAATTAGAATTTTTCAGATGAGTATCTTTACTAAAGTCCTACGTGGATGCTATCACTCAATGCAACAATCATTTATAATCATTGTGCTATATAAAGGTGAAGAAAAAAGTATCTTCTGCCATCTAGGAGCTTGCATTCTAAACACCCTTGTGTGAAGAAGGTGACCTTGGCTTCACAAAGGATTTGTCTGAGAAAAAAAAGCTCTGGAAGCTTTCATCATGAGCCACAAGCATTTATTAATGTGCCAGGCATCGTGCTAAGTACTTCACAAATACTATCTCATTTGATTTGATCCTCACAACAACCCTTTGAGGGAGGTTTGAGGAAACTGAGGCAGACAGAAGGTAAGTAACTTTCCCAGCTAGTAAGTGTCGGAAATTGAATTTGAACTCGGGACTTCAGGTCCAGCACTCTATCTTCTCTGCCACCTAGCTCAGTGCTAAGCCATGGGAATACAAAATAAGGCAAAAAACACAAAACCAAAAACAGCCCAGGTTCTCAAGGATCTCACAGTGTAATGGGGGAAAGATCATGCCGACAGATATCCACAAACAAGATGTACACAAGACATACTAAAAGTAATCTCAGAAGGAAGGTATTGTGATATAAAAGGAGGCTTCTTGCAGAAGGGGGGCTTTAAATTGAATCTTGAAGGAAACCAGGAAAGCTAGGAGGAAGAACTGAAGAAGATGAGCATTCCAGGAATGGGGGCCAGCCAGTGAAAAGGCACAAATGGGGAGATGGATTGTCTTGTACAAGGACAGTAAGAAGGCCAGTATCATTGTATCTTAGAATATGTGGAAGAGAAATAAAAGTATATGAAGATTGGAAAGATGGGAAGGACAGAGGTACTTAGGTTATAAAAGGGTTTGAAAAGTAAACAGATTTCCTATTTAATTCTAACGGTAGTAAGGAGTCAGTAGAGTTGATTGAATGGGTGGGGCTCAAGGGGAGACATGGTCAGATCTGCAGTTAAAGATGATCACTCTGTTAGCTAAGTGGAGGGTGGACTGGAAGGGGGAAAGATTGGAAGTAGGATGACCAACTAAAAGCCTGTTGCCATAGTTAAAGAGTGAGGTAGTGAGGGCCTGAATGGGGGGGCAGCTGTATGAGAAGGGGGCATATGTGAAACATGATGCAAAGGTGGAAGAAATAAGATTTGACCACAGACTGCACATTTGAGTTAAGGCAAATGAGATGTTGGGCATCATACCATTTCCTCTCATCTCTGCCTCTTAGTTTACTTGGTTTCCTTCAATATTTAATTGAAATCCTATCTCTTGTAGACCTTTCTCAGGCAACCAAAGTTATGAATGTTTTGCCCTCTTAAGATTTCCTTCCAATTATTCTCTATATGGTATGTATGTTATACACATGGTATATGGTATGGTATTATGTATATGGTACATGGTATATCGATTATACACATGATGTCTCCTTCATTGGAATGGAAACTCCTTAAGAACAAGGATGATTTGAGTCTTTGTACCCCAGTGCTTAGTTCAGGTATGACAAACAGAAAGTGCTTAATAAATGTGTGTTGATTGGCCAACTGATGATGAGTGGCCTTTCTTTTCAAGAAAAACACCTCTGCATGCAGCCTTGGTACATCCCATCTATTCCTGTCTTCCTGTCTTCTCCAACAAATTGTCCTTACCATCATCCTTTCTCCCTCTTTCCCAATCTCTGTCTCTGTTTCTGTCTCTCTGTCTCTGTCTCTCTGTATCTCTATCTCTCTCTGTCTTTGTCTTTGTCTCTGCCTCTGTCTCTCTGTGTTTCTGTCTCTCTCTCTCTGTCTTTCTGTCTGTCTTTGTCTCCATCTCTGTCTCTCTGTCTCTGCCTCTCTGTCTCTTTCTGCCTCTTATCTCTGTCTATCTTTGTCTCTTTCTCTCTCTGTGTCTGTCTTTGTCTCTATGTCTCTATCTTTCTCTCTGTCCATCTATGTCTCTGTCTCTGTCTCTCTCCATCTCTGTCTGTCTCTGTGTTCGTCTCTCTCTGTCTCTCTCTCTCCCTCTCTGTGTCTCTCATCTTTACCCTATCTACTGCCTCCTTCCCAGATGCCTGGAAACATGCCCAAGACTCCTCCATTCTTAAAAATAACAAAACAGAACATGACAACAACTAGATATTGGCAAATCTGCCAGGTATCATCCTCTATCTCTCCTCTAGATTTCAGCTAAACTCCTTGAAAAAGCCAACTCATCTCTGCTTCCACTTCCTCTCCTCTCACTATCTCCAATATTTTCAGTGGTCTAGATTCCACCCTTATCATTCAACGGAGACTACCCTTTCAAAAGTTACCAGTGGTCTCTTGACTGCCAAATGTAATCCAATTTTCTTAATCTTCATCCTTCTTGACTCCTGTATATCATTTGACATTGCTGAGTAGCTTTTCTTTGATACCATCTCCTTTCTGGGTTTGTGAGAATATCCTCTCTCACTTTTTTCCCTTCCTACCCACCTATCTGACCATTTCTCACAGTCTTTTTTATTTTATCCATGTCATGTTCACTATGTGTGGGAGCCCTCGGGAGTATTTCTGGAGCCCTCTTCTCTTATCCTTCTATAGTATCTCAGTTGCTGAGTATCTCATCAGTTCCCATAGGTTACATTATAATCACTATGCATATGATGTCTAGGTCTATTTATTTAGCTTTAATCTATCTCTTGATCTCCAGTTCTGCATCACCAACTGCCTGGTGGACATCTCGCACTGAATGTTCTGGGAGTATCTCAAACTCAACATGTCCATAAAAGAGCTGATTCTCTTTACCTCTGCCCACTCATCCCTCATCTGAACTTCACAATTACTGTACACCATCATCCTTCCAGTCACTAGGTTCCCAATATCATTGCCATCCTTAATTTCTCTCTTCCTCTCATCCCACATGTCCAATCAGGAACCAAATCTTGTTATTTCTCTATATCTTTTGAACATACTTCCATTCATATAACCACCACCCTAATTCAGTTCTTTATCACTTCTTCCCTTCACTATTATAACACTCTAATTGTTTACCCTGCCTAGAGCTTTTTCCCCATTCCAATCCATCTACTATTCAGCTGCCAAAGAGATATTTGTAAATTATAGGTCTGAGCACATCCTTCAATAAACTTCACCACTTAACCTATTACCTGCAAGATCAGATATATATTTTTTTTGGTATTTAAAGCTTTTTACAACTTGGTTCCTTACTATCTTCCCAATCTTCTTACAATCTCCTCCCTTCCAGGCCCTCTACAACCTAACTGTGATTCTTAGCATGTACTGCATACCATTTTTCATCTCTTTGGCTTTTGCTGGCTCTTTCTCATACCTAGAATGTTTTCTCTCCCACCCTCCGACTCTCAGAATCCTCGACTCCTTCTGAAAGAGACTCTACCCTGGAACCCCAAGTCAACCCTCCTGTATATATGCCAGGGAGTATGGGGTGAGAGTGTAGACAGCACAATCAAAGGATGCTTCGGTGTAGAAATTATCCAATGCTACATCACAGAGCTAGACTGTGGCAAAATCAGGCCTTCAATGCAGATCTCTTGAGTCTTGACCTCTTCACACTACCATCACAGGTGTACTGACTCTGAAGTCAGAGGACTTGGGTTCAAATCCTTCTGGGAGCAACTTGCTATCTGTATGACCATGGATATTGCCACTTAACCTCCCTGGGCCTTGGTTCCCTTATCTATGAAATGAAGGGGTTTGGCTCAAT